GGCTTTTTGACAATTTGTTCATTCATTCCTGCATTAATTAAAGTAGGTTGTACTATGGGCCAGGCACTGCGCCAGGTATTGAGAACCTAAGCAGTCATGTTCCTGAAATGGGGAGAAATCCAGCAGGGCTAGAGTAGAGGGAGTTTGAAGGAGACCATGAGGTGTGATGGGTGGGATTGGAAAAGTCTGCAGAGACCAGATTTTTGTTTGGGAGGTAGCGGGGAAGAGAGGCTCACAGGGATTTTAGACTTTATTCTGAGGGAAGTGGGAAGTCATGGAGGAGTTTTTGAAGTAGGGGTGTGACATATAAAGATCCTCATTTTAAAAGAGGACCCTGGCTTGAGCATGAGTAATGGGTGGGCACCAGGCTTGAGCAGGTACAGAGGACAGTAGGAACTGCTGGTGGTTTGGACGGGGTAGGTGGAGCTGAGAGCGAGTCTGGAGAGAAGTAGAACCTAGAGGCCTTTGTAATTAGATGTGGAAGGAGTCATGGTATTTGCAGCCCTCACATCTGGACCAGTAGCCTTGTTGTTCGGTAACCCAGAGAAGAGCATTTTCATTTTACCCTCTCTTCCTGCTCTTGACTTTTGGACTTTTTGTGATTTAAGATTTAAGAATGTAATTGGAGTTCCTGCACATGGAAAGATATTTAATGCCAGATGACTGTGGAGCCTCATGGTGGATCCATCCTCACAACCTTGGCTGTGTTTCAACTGGCCAGGCCACAGAGTTATTATAAACATTGTAGGAGGCTTGGTAACCATGCTATATCCCTGAGTTTTGGTGGGATATAGATCAATTTGAGATTGTTTTCTAGGCCTCAGAAACACATTACCCTCTACCCTCCCAAAACCAAACCCAAACAAACCAAACCAACCATAATCCCTTGAGAATTTTTCTTCATCTGTAAGACAATCTGTAAGATCTTGTTCTTTCTAAATAGAAAGCTCCCATGTTTTAATGCCTTTCCTTGGGCTGCTTTGATTCATTGAGATGTACCTGTCCCATTTGTATTAATTATTCCTCATTAGAAAAATTCTTTTGTAATCATGTCATGTAGAAATATTGATTTTGATTTTCAAAAAAGTCTTGAGTAGGGAGGGGGAAATGGGGGGTTGCTGTTCAGTGGGTATGGAGTTTCAGTAACAGGATGAAAAAGTTCTAGAAATCTGCTATACAGTAATGGGTATGTAGTTAACAATACTGTACCATACATTTAAAAATTTAAGAGGGTAGATCTCATGTGTTTTGTTTTGTTATAGCCACAATTTTTAAAAAAAAGTATTGAGTAAAAAAGCATATTTACTCTTTAGTTTTTATTTATTGTATTTTTAAATTTTTATTTGAAAAAATGAGTTAGACTTTTAAACTTTAGCATAAGTTTTAAAATAATGTTCTCTGCCAATTCTTCCATTTCATATTTAATTTTAAATTGTCTCTTTCTAAAGACTTTCTTATGTAAGTCAAGATTTCGGTGCTAAAAATCTGTGGCTGTTACTCAGAGGTGATTATTCACAAGACCTTCAGTTTTAAAAAAATGTTTGTTTAAAAATTAAAATACTATGTAAACTAAACAAAACATGTTCATCTTGGATTTCTGTTTTGCAGCTTCTTCCCTAGACTATAAGTTCTGTAATGACTTCTTTATCAATTAATAAATCGGCTTGGCTGCTTTAACAGAGGCCAAATAATAGTGGTCTAAACAAGATAGAAGCTTATTTCTCTCTTACAGGCAATATGGGGGTAAGGGTTTAAAGGCAGCTCTCTTCCATAGGGTCATCTGGAGACCCAGGCATTTCTGTCTTGTCACTCTTCTGTCCTTTAGGATGTTCCCTTTCCCCCATGGTTGCAGACAGCACAAGGAAGTGAAGGGCAGGCAGCTGCCTGTTAGGGTCAGATAGTACTTAGGCTTTGCAGGCCACATATACTCTCTGTGCATGTTCTTTTTTGTTTGTTTACAACCCTTTAAAAATGTAAAAACTGTTCTTATCTGGAGGCCTTACAAAACAGGCCCTGGGCTAGATTTGTCCCACATGCCATTTTTTTGCCAACCTGTTTTATGGGCACACTTTCCCATCTGTAAAGCAGGATTAATGAAAGTATCTTTTCAAAAGGTTATTATGAGAATTAAAATGAGATAACATATTGAAATAGTGCCTGGCACAAAGTAAGTGTTTAGAAATGTTAACTGTTTTTGTTATGATTTATATCTAATTCCACCTATGAAAGAGAATTTATACATATTTCTTTTACCTCATTTTTGATAATATGAAATTTGTATAGATATAAATTTTGACATTTATATCTATAATTGCCACAGTTGTTTAGTGTAGCACTATATTTAAATCAATGCTCTAGTCCTTTTGTCATGGTCTCTGTTGCTCTGAATTCTTTGTTTTGATTTGATTATTTTGATAATGTGTCCTACTGGCTAGGTTGTATTATTAGTGGGTTTTTAAAGATGATGTTATATTCCAAGTTTTTGCACGCTTGAAAACGTCTGAACAGGTTTTGTATCTGAAGGGTAACTTAGCAGGGTATGAAATTTTGGGGTCATCTTTCTTTCTCATAGGAATTTTAGAATTATGGGGCTGTATCAAAATCTAAAAACAATTTGATTATCAACTTGCTTTTTCTGCTTGGAGATCCATGTGATTTTTCTTTTTCGTTGATGTTTGGGAGATTGATTGTACAGTTTCTTCTATGTTATGTGCCCTTTTAAAATGCAGATTCAGGTCTTTTTAAAATTTCAGAAACGTTTTCTTGCATTCTGCTTTAGAAAATTTCTTCTGTCCTATTTGTTCACTTCAGGAATTCCAGGGTTAATAATACTCCCTCCTACCCTGCCTCACCTCCAGTCTGCCTCAGCCAGGAGGGTGGGCTGGCCCTTTAGAATGTGGGACTCCCTGCTGTGGCTCTTGACACATTGTTCCTTATTTCTGCCCTGGCCTAGCTATGTTCCTGGGTCTCATTGCTGTAATGAGAAGTTTACAGCCTTTCACTTCTGTGACACTGACATTCAGGGCTTTCTTTTTCATGGGGCAGTCTGAGTGGGTATTTGTTAGGTCTGAGCTTTCTCTTCATTTTGTTCCAACTTTCACAGTTTTAAAGCAGAAGTTCTTTTTATATTTATATTTTTTATTTATGTTTTATATTTAGATTAGAGTGGTAGCATTCCCTTGTTTTATGTGTAATGGGATTTTTCACTTTTTATTAGCTGTTGTTTTGGGTGTGTTTTGAGTAAGGCATGGAAAAAGACACCTCATTGATGGATTTAAATTTCTCTTATGCTTTATGTTTTATTTTTAAATATTTTAAAAATACAGTACCACAACCCATACATAATTGATCACTTTGTTTGCCACATTTCTTTTATGTCTTTTTTCTTTTATAGAAAATATCAAGTGTAACAGGTACACTTTGACCCCCACCCCAGATCCATCCCTCATCTCCACCCCCAGAACTCCAGAGCAATCACTAGCCTTGCAGTCTCTTTTTATATTTAAAAATACAAATATAAATATCTGTGAACAGTGTATAACCTTGGTTTATATGTTGAGAATATTTGCCCAGATGGTATCATACTGTTTTATTGTTCTGCAGCTTGTGTTTTTCCACTTACCGTGATTAATGAAATCTGTTTTGATGTGCATACATTTTTTTTTTTTTTGTCTTTTTTCCGTGTCCGGCAACGGATCGCAACCCTCAGTGTTGCCCCCGTACCGGACCGGGGACCGGCAACGGGATTGCAAACCTCGGCGTTGCTCCCGCGCCTCGCTCAGCCAGTGAGCGGGAACCGGTCTGTATGTGGGATCCGAACCCTCGGGCGGGAGCGCCACCGCGCTTCCCAAGCAGCGCACTATCCAGTGCGCCACCGGGCCGGCCCGATGTGCATACATTTTGTTGTTGTTCTTATTCATTGTTGCATGTTATTTCATGATTATGGATACATCACATTTCTTTGTTCTGTCAGTGGACACTATTAAGAACAGCGCATCACAGGCCATCCTTGGACAGCTCTTTTAGGCTTATGGTGCAAGGGTTTCTCAGGAAGTAGATGTTCAGAGTTGCAAGATTAATGCCTTTTCATTTTTACTAGATACCGACTAGTTAGTACTTTTACCACTAACTAATTGTGCACCAAAGTGATGGTAACCAGTTTTCCCTCTCGCCAGCAATGAGTGAAAGTATTGCCCCTGCACATCGATATTGGACACGGCTACCCTTTCTGCTATTTGCCCTTTCCTGAGCGGTCCTGTAGTGAAGGGAGCATTATGTAATGATGTTCATTTGTTGGCATAGATTTTCAGAACTGGCTGTTTCTAGATGAATATAGGAGTAGAAAAGAGTGATAAATGTCTAATCAGGAGTCCTGCCAAATATAGTTCATTCTACATCAGAGATGAGATTATATTCCTACTAGTTTTCTTTGCCTTTTTTTCCCCTCCAGGGTATTGTTAGAGCCAAAAATAAAATAAAAATAAAGTTTAAAGGTGCTAGGGTCTTTTCCCACAATGGGGGAGAGAAGTGAGAAAGTGTATTATTGTTTCTGGTAAAAGTGCTACCATCTTTTGTACCTGTGTGCTATTTCTTCTTGGAGTAAAGTTATTTCTGGAGCTCTTCCCTGACTGTTTCCCTGAGAACTGTTCAGTATGTTGCAAATGAACTGTGAAATGATTGGATGCTAATGTGGCAATCAAAGTATAAAATCGCTCAGCTCAGAAACAGGTACATTTGGTTCAATACCGTAAGTTGTTTATGCGTGACTCTCTGTGCTTTTGAATTCTTGGTTCAAAAGTACTTTTCACCTATAAGGTGTATTTACATTGAGTAGTTCCCTAATGGTTTGGTCAACATATCAGTATTCTCAAAGGTCTGCCTGTCTGTCTCTCTTTCTTTTTTTACTTTTTTGGTGGTGGTGGGGTGTGAAATATTTTTTTGCTTCTTTATTCCTTTAAAAAAGTCACAGTCCCTCATATATGCACTCTTCCAACTTTCAGAAAAGCAAGAGGAAAGGGCATGAATATACAAATATTAAGTATTCACTAGCGGACCAGACAAGTGGAGATCAGAGTCCCCTCCCACCTTGTACCCCAACGCCATCCTGTGCAGAGTAAGTAGTGATAAAGGAAAAATTTTTTTTTTAACCTCAGCATATTTCTTTAAAAAGACTTTAAACAAAAAATAAGTCTTGGCAGCAGATGCCTTTCATTGGTTCACATTATTGTTGCCCAGTGATTACTGTATCCGTGACTGGTGTTAAGGATTGAGTTGAGCAAATTTTTAATTTTCCTAAATGGAAGGCTGATTGCTATGCTGGCTAGGATAGTTATATGGGATTATATATACTTATACTTATTATAGGATACTTATATGGTATTATAAGTACATCAAGTGGTGGTTCTCCAAGAAGAATCTAATTTTTATTTTGATGGGGTAGGGATTGTTGCAGAAGCAGTTATCATTCCTTATGATGTGTTAAGACTCTTTGTTAAATAAAAGTAAGTAAATTGACCATTAATGTGTCAGCACAACCATAATCTGCTAGTTTTCCACCAGTCAACAGAAGTCTACTTTGCATGTTTAAACCAGGGGTCGGCAAACTACAGCCTGCAGGTAGATCTGGGCCATGGCCTACTTTTGTATGGCCCATGAATGGTTTATAAAGGGTTGTAAAAAACAAAACCAAAAGCAAACCCAAAGAATAGTATGACAGAGACTGTGTTTGGCCTACAGAGCCTAAAATATTTACTCTCTGATCCTTTCTGGAAAAACATTGCTGACTTCTTGTTTAAACTCTTTATTTTATTTATTTATTTATTTATTTTTGGCGGTTGGCCAGGGTGGGAATCTGAACCCTTGATCTTGGTAAAACACCACACTCTAAACCACCTGAGCTTACTGGCCAGCTCCTCCTTGTATAAATTAAAACATGATAGGAAAACATTTGTTAAATTGATTGTGAATAGCAATTGTAAGTCATTATTTTTCTATGTTTGTAAAGTCACTCTCTAGTATAACATTTACTTTTTATTTTCTCCTAAGAGTCTTATCTCTATTTGCTTCTGATGTGGCTTTTTAAACCCCTGCTGATTTTAATATTCTATACGAACATTTTAGTTAGCATATATGAGGCTTGTATTCACATCCGCTTTCTATTTAACATTGAAATGAAATTATATAGAGAAGTATTCTCTCCTCTAAGTTGCCTCTTCCTTCTGCCTGCTTCTTTTCTTTCCCAGTGGACTGACTGGGAAAGTTGATATTTTAAATTGCTATCTGCAGTAATTTGCAGTGGAACCAGAATGTCAAGGCTCTGAGTGAGTCCTTGCCAGAAAGCTTTCCCCTCATGATAGCATAACAGAATCAGCTCTGATGACTCCCTTATTACCAGTGGCATGTCTGTGACTGACAGGCTCTCTGTCCCTTCACGACATCTCCCCTGTACGGTACAGAACCAGAATACCCCAGCCCCGGAGCCCCTCTTAGGCTGGCATTCACAGTGGCTGGGTTCCTCATCCTCCCAGACTGGTCTGACCGCCCCGCCCTGCTCAGTAGAAAGAAGTCTGGCTTCTTTGATGTGTCGGCCTCCCATCCTAGGTCCCTAAACCGTCCATTGCCCTTCACGTAACCTGAGCTGAGGCTAAGTGCATCTCTAATCACTACCTGCTTCTCCTACATTTCCTCTTTTTGGAACTTTTGCCTGTTCAGATTCCTCTGCTGGAAATTAATGTGATTCTTTTGTATATGTACGTGTCCTATCCCCCTTCATGGTCTAACTCAAATGTCTCATCCTGCAGGCCTCCCTTTTTCTGCCCACCTAGAAAAAACAACCTGTTTTCCCCCAACGTAGGCAGAGCACAGGGATTTGAGGCTCTTATTTCACTTTTAACTTCATAATTATATTGTTGTATGTTCATGTCTTATAACCCTGCTGAGATGTCAACTCCTGGGGGCAGGAACTGTGTCTGCACCATATCTGGTTTCCAAAGAATGTAGAATGTGCTTTTTAAATACTGTGTAAGCTTAAACAGCTCGGTCTGCATATTCGTAAATGTCTTCCTTTTTCTTTTCTCTGCAGAATGAGAGAGGATAATGCTAGAGTCTATGAAAATGTGGGCTTGATGCAGCAGCAGAAAAGTTTCAGATGAGAAGACCCGCCAAAACTTCAGCACAGAAATAGGTATTTAAATGCAAGTGCTTTATTGGTTAATTGTTTATAAATTTGTGGTATTTTTAAGCAGGTAAATAATTTGTGAATGTTTCAGCAAAGTGTACCATAAATGAGTTTAATAAACCAGCCTCTTTTTCCTCTCCCTATACTTCTTTTTCCAAGCTGGATTTAGTTTAGAGTTCATTACACTTGATCCTAACCTGTAGTGGATTGAATTATGTCCCCCCAAAACTCACTGAAGCTTAAATTGTGTTCCCCAGGTTTTATGTATTAGAAACTTAGCCCCCACTGTGACTGTTAAGAGGGTGGAAAATCCTACTATGGTAATTGAAAGGTGGAGCCTTGAAGAGGTGATTAGATTATAGGATCATGCCATAGTGAATGGATTAAAAATGGTGGTCAGGGGCATGGTTCTGAGAGCTTTAAAAGAAGAGAGAAGAGAGTCTTTCTCTCTCTCTGCTTCCACCATCTTACAATGTGAGACCCTTGGGTCACTGTTGCCATCACCAGCTGGACTTAGGACTTCCCAGCCTTAGAAACTGTAAGCAATAATTTCATTTTCTTTATAAATCACCCAGTTTCAGGTATTTTGTTACAAGCAACAAAAATGGACTAATACATAACCTAAAGGCCACGAAGCGATAGTGCAGAGTTCATTAAGCATTAAAATCAAATGCAGAAATAATTCTGCAAGGGGCAAAGCTAGCACTTATTCCAGAGAAACGATTGCTTAGTGGTGAAGAACAGGTATCACCATTCCTGCAATTTTTATTAGAGTTGGTTAACCCAGGCTGTGCTAGGGGATGATCTGTAGGGATCTGGGAAGCATCTGGGCATGGCACTGAGTGGTTAGGAGTCAGGATACCTGAATTGTCATCCCAGTTGGCATCAGGCTGGCTACGAGACACGGGTGGTGGACTCTCCTGGCCCCCGACTGGATCAACTCCACATCCCCTCTACCACTGCTGCTTGGAATTCATCTCCCTTATATGTCTCTGTCAATTATTTACTCTTGTCTATTACTTTTTTAGCCTGTGACCCAGTATGCGATATATGGTCTAATGATAAGCTAGAAACTCATAGTGTTAGTATTTCATGTTGAAATTTTCATTTCAATAGGTAGTATATTTAAAAGTTTTAAGTCTACTTTAAAAGTTTAATGTTTTGTCAAGCTTTTAAATGTGCACTCCTTAAAAATTCTAACTTATTTCCTCCCCAGATGTGAAACTTCACCCTCTCCCTAAAAAGATCAAGAACAGATGCAAGAACATTTATGTGAAGAATTAATTTGGATTTGGAAGGCTTGCATTGTGGTTGGCTACCTTTTGATGAGCAAAATTTGAAACTATTTAAAGACCACTGTATTTTAACTCAACAATACCTGATTTCCAATTACTCATTTCCTCAGATAAGAAGAAATCATTTCTACAATGTAGACAAATGTTATATTTTATAGAATTTTGTTTTAAATTGAGGAAGCAATTGTGCTCTATATTTTGCAGATTATGGGTATTCAAATTATAGTCAAGGAACTTTTGTTTGTTTTAAATAACCTTAACCAATTTAATTTTTTTTCTCTTAGGATGATAGTGCACTTGTAAGAAGAAATATTTGGGAAAATTAAGTAACAACCCTGGAGAAATGAGAACAATTTCATTTATCATTGCTTATCCAGTAGTGGATAATTCATTTTGATGGTTTTTTTTTTTTTTTTTTTTTTGGCTAAATGATCTTTAAGCCAGCGTCTGAGACTGTCAGAAGCTGACTGTCTACCTTTGCATTGCCATTAAAATGTCATGGAGAAAAAATCATGGAAATTTATGAATTAGGATAAGAGGTGTTTTCTTCTTAGCAGATGACCAATTACATTCAGCTGTTGACTGAGAAGGTTATGGTAGGAAAATATTTGCCATATTTTCTTTGTATTTGAATAATTGTCTTATATTTAGAAAAAAGGCATCTACTGATGACCAGTGTTTTGGTTATCAAATGTTGCTGACAAACCACCCCAAAACATTTTGGCCAAAAACAATAACTCCCCCACTCCCATCCCACTATTTAATAACTGGGCTCAGCTGAGCTGTTCTTCTGCTGGTCTTGCCGGTGGTCACTCATGTGGTCGGCAGGTTGGCTGAGACACTGGGATGGCTAGACTTCTCTCTCTGCATGCAGTCTTCAGGGGTCTCTCCTCCACCACATGGTCTCTCTGAGAGGCCTCACCAGCAGGATAGCTAGACCTCTTACGTGGCAGCTCAGAGCTCTCAAGAGCTCAAAAGCAGAAGTAGCTAGGATTTCTTATGATGTAAGCCTGGAACTGTTGCAGCCTCCCTTCTATGGCCCTCTACTGATTAAACAAGTCACAGGCCCAGCCCAGATTCAAGAAGAGGGCATAAAGTGGAGGTGCACTTCATTGGTGGCCCCCAGTCTAACAGACTGTCACAACCAGTGCCATGGAGAACCAACTATCGTTAGCAAAAGTAGAAGCTGCTAGTGACTTTGGGAAGCTGAAGCTGCTTCTAGTAGCTGGTATAAGCAGATAGTCAGACTGAGAAATAAAGAGGGGACCTTCAAGAAGCTTCCTGAACCAGTTCTGCCAGCTCCAAGCATATTTTCTGAACCATTACTTGGGAAAACTGGTCACGTAAGGATGGATGTGTTTAGAGGCACAGAGCATTTGAAAGCACAACCACCCCATCATTGTTGTAACCCCAGACTGTGGTGAATGTGATGCTTTCTTAATACCACTGGTTTTTAGTCAGGCCTCACACCCATAGATGCAGTTAGGCTACAGTGAGAAGGAACAGTCCTAAGAAGGCCTCCCATCAGATTGAATGAGCTCGTTTTTGTTTTATCCAAGCAGTGAGATTTGCTAGTGTTCTACCTTAAGTGCCTTCTCTAAAGACATCCCTCTTTGCCTGTGTGTTGAATCATCATTCAGTGAGTATATTTCAATTAAAGTATCATTGGTTGACTTTTGTAATGATAATAAAATGCTAGGGCAACTTAGCATTTTATTTATGAAATCATGTTCTCCTTACTCAGATTCTCTTGCTTTGGCTTCTGAAAGGAAGGACTAGATCCAGCCATGGTAACAGTTCCTTTCTGTGGTCTTTTACCCCTTGAAACCCTGAGATAGTTTGGGGAGCTCAGTGGCTGCCATTTTCATAGACAGAATGTACATTGACCCTCTTCCCCCAATATCCATTGAACTTAGAATTGCTTCAGAACACAGTTGTGACCTGAACATATTACTTATTAGGGGAATGTAATGACTGCTCTCTTCTTGTCAAGCCTGTAAAGGAAGAGATTCCAGTTCATTATTGGCAACAAGGATCTTGTATCCTGTTCTTTTTATTACATTGTCCCATCGAATTGTTCTCCATTTTGATTCGATTTTGTGGTAATATTTTGACTCTGGACTTTGGGGACAAATTCTTTCACCAGCATACAAAGGTTTGATTGTACAAATATATCTGCTGCATTAACGTCTCTGCCTGTAGCTTAAGATCGGTTGTTTCTGCACTTGGGACAGAAATACCTAATGTTGGCTTGCTTTGTTACAGGACATTGATTTCGTTTAGATTTCCCTCCACAACATCAGCAAACTATCATGTTGTTATGTAAACTTATGCTAAGACAAAATTTATAATATGAGGGTACTTCAAAAAGTTCATGGGAAGATATGTATTATCTTTCAATTCTATTTTTCCATGAACTTTTTGAAGTATCCTCGTAGTCCCTAGGTTGCTAAGGTTTGCGGTGTGTTTGGTAAAAGGTGATTGCAGGTTCTCAGATGAGGTTACTCTACATGGGATGGAGTCAGGCAGAGGGGCTGGAAGATGTGGGGAGCTCAAGGTACAGGTTTAAAAATATAGTGGAAATGAAAGTTCCAAAGAGGTGGTTTCTGAGGAAGTCAAAGGGCCCAGGGCCAGAGCCGTCAGTAATAGGTGAATCAAGGTACCTGGAAAACAGGTGTGATAGTTACACACATGCAGTCTACTTCTGGGTTGCTGGTAGACATTAAATATGCACAATATCCCGTAGCTGGCTGAGTATTTAAAAATTGTAAGCATAGGATTTTATATTTGGGGTGAAGGAATTATCTGGCATGTGGTATTGGGGTTTTTAAAAAGCCAAGTTTCAGAGACTTAATAGCTTTTTTCAAAAAATTAAAAGGCACTTTCTGTTCGGTGCGTGGCCCTCCTGAAACTTATGGTCATCTCTCCCATTGAAATCAATGACTTTTCAAAATGGCTAAGTAGGGATGAGAAAATATAGGTAGGACTGTTTTGGTGTCTGCATTCTTTACAGAACCCAGTTGCTTTGGAACAGCCAAGAAAATGGCTAAGATTATTTTTAGGGGTTATTTTACTGGAGATTTTAAGAACTAATATAATGTCTTGGGTTATTTCTAGGTCAGGGGAACGTGGAAAGATATGCAATTGTGAAGTGTTTTGTTGTAGATTAGTAATCCATAAAGGAAACTTAGACTGTAGACATAAATACAAACCCAGTACAGTTTTTTGTTTTCTGTATGTTGTTGGGGGAATAAAGTTTTATATAGCAAGCACATGGCCTCCCTGATTTCAAGACACCTTTTTAGGATCTGTATTAGCCCTTTTGTTGAAATCTTTTTCCTTCTTACCCTTGAAAAATAAGTTCCAAAATATAGTTTATTGTATCTTCCATCACTAAAAAGTTTGTTCCTTTTTCACTATGGGCAGTTCACACAAGGCAAAAGTATTAAACAGTTGGTTTTAGTGTGTTGTATAACTTTGCTGTATATCAAACTAATTTTACAAGTTTTCATCCTAAACCTCAAATCATGTAATTAATAATTTGCCTGTTTATTTATGACTTAATTGTGATACTTTTATTAATAAAAGCTAATGGAAAAGGATCCTTTATTAAGCTGATGACTAGACCTACAATTAATTTTCCTGCAGTATATGAAGAAGTATTGTACCAGAGTATTAAAAGTTATGTAATATTTTATTGATAAATCTATCCTTTAAAAGGAATACGTTTTAGGATGTCATCATTTTGATGTGAATCATGTAAATGTTGATAATATGCTGTTTATTATACATTTAGTGTTTCAAGAGATTCACTTAATTGCCTTTTTGCCCACGTGTATTATGTAGTCTATTTACAATTGTTTTTAAAAATGACATTAAATAATAGTTTATGTAGAGAAACATTAGTGGATATTGTCTCCCCACCTGTATTTATGGGTGTTAGTTCAACTGCTTTGCTAGTTGCAAAGCTGTATTATCAGAGTAAAAGTGTATTTGTAAACTGTATGGGAACTAAAAATTAGGAATAAAACCATTTTCTTATATTATGGTATTTGTCATTTACTTCATCAGAAATGTCCAGGAAAAAATGGGACTGTAGGTCACTCAACTTCTCACACTGGCAAAATGCTGACATTTAGCAGCTCTAATCTAGAAGGTGACTTGGAGTATAGGCTAAATTCATCAGTTCCTCAGGAATTCATTGTGCGTGTACTCTAGGCGTAGCTTTAGTAGACAGGGAATTCTATTTGGATGAATTTAAGAGTAAAGAGTAAAAAGTATGTCTGTGTAAAATATACAGGAAGTCATTAGAAAACACAGAGAACTGAATGTAAATAGTATTGGGTGGGGATATGAAGTAAAGGTATGGTAAGGGAGGCTTATAAGAGGAGTAAATTATGTGCTATAGGGCATATATAGCTCTTCCCTTTATTTATTTATTTATTTATTTTTTGGCAGCTGATCAGTATGGGGATCTGAACCCTTGACCTTGGTGTTACAATACCATGCTCTAGCCAGCAGAGCTAACTGGCCAGCTAGCTCTTTCCTTTAGAGTAGGTTTAGGCCACATACAAACAAGGTCATCTTTTTTGACAATGTGCATTGGAATGGGCAGAAAGAAAGCATTTTATAAATAACAAAACAGGTTATTAGTTTTCTATTGTAAATATAAGGAGTAGTTTGGATTACTTATTTACGCTGTAAAATACTATGACTCTCCTCTCAGTCTTAACTGAGTTGTTTAATGTATGTTTTTTTTTTTTTTTTTTCCTTTTTGTCTCTTTTTCCTTGTCCGGCAATGGATCGCAACCCTCAGTGTCGCGCCCGTACTGGACTGGGACCGGCAACGGGATCGCAACCCTCGGTGCTGCGCCCGCACCTCGCTCAGCCAGTGAGCGGGAACCGGTCTGTATGTGGGATCCGAACCCTCGGCGGGAGCGCCTCTGCGCTCCCAAGCGGCGCACTGTAGCAGTGTGCCACTGGGCCGGCCCTTAATGTATGTTTTCATAATTCAGTTTAGTTGGTTAGACCAGTCACCTATCCATTCGAAAAATACAGAGCACACTTGAAATGACAGGCACTGCACCTCTGTACTGGGATGAGCTGTGACCCACATAATTTGACACAGTGGCTGTCTACCTGGGGAGCTCGGCCTTGCTCAAGTCAGAAGGCAGTCACTTGTCCTTGGAATAGCCCTACTGAATATGCCTGTGGCCAAGACACAAAACAGAAATTAGATGATTAACTCCAGATGGGATGAGAGTCATGAAGAGGGGCTAAGGGTTTGGATCGCAGGGGAACATAACTTTCTACAGGGGGACCTCTACTGGGTTTTCAAACCTTGGTACTGTTTGTTGTTTCTCTTCTGGAGTTTCAGAAGAGGTGCTGTATACACTGTTGGCCTGGAGACTGCGAAATCTTGTCGTAGACATGCCACGAAAGGAACTTCTAGTTTTATAGTTCCTACTCACAAGAAAAATCCCCAAGAAAATGTGAAGATTAAAGCAAAGCAGGAATCCCCATAGCAAATCAATTGTAGACAGAGAACTAAGGGTTTATTCATCTTGGTCATGCTCCTGATGAAAGCACCAGCTTTTGGGTCATATTACGTACATGCTTTGCATCCATCTGTTCTCTTTGACTCTATGAGGGGTAGTAAAAAGGGGACTGTGACCGCAAGTGAACGGTTTTATTGCAGGGGCTATTTTTTATCCCCCTAGGAACTAGCTAAGTTTCCAAACCCTGGATTTGCAAAATGATAATGAGCCAAAAATAGAGATTTGTTGTTTTATCAGCGGTAACAGCTACCCATGAGTTGATATTCATGTCAGTTGAGATCAGATCATTTAAATACCCAAATATCATCGTCATATACACTATAGCTGCTAAAATAAGGCTTATAAGAAAGCAATTCTGTACTGCAAGACCAGTGGGCAGTTTATGGACAAGGGAGTTGTATGTGATGCTCAGACTTGAGATCATTTTTACCTGGTAAGAGCGTAGTTATACTGAACTGAAAAGAATTTGTTTGGGCTTCAAATTCTCTTCCATATGGCAAAGGTTAAATCCCACTAGGGATTAGGCATTGAGGAACAGATGAATAAAACAGATCTGCTTTCAAGGAGCTCATTGTGGTCAGGCAGACATGCACGCACAGACATTTGCCATTCAGTTGGAGTAGGCAGTAATAGTATTAAACTGATGGTTGGATAGAGGAGTGAATTATACAGGGGTAAGAATTCAGAGGAGGGGTCACTTGAACTTGACCAGTGGGGAAACTGTGTGTGTGTGTGTGTGTGGAAATAGAGATAGATTCTAGGCTGGAGTAATTGTCCTCTTATTTTCTTGTGGGTTCAGTCAAGGCCAGGTTCCTCTCTGGATCATTCTAGAAATGAATTTGCAAGGCAAATAGTTGTTTCTCTGTTCAACTCTTGCTTCCTCATTTACCTCTGAAGAGGGACTCTTATGACACAGAAGGAAGACCTTTCTAGCACTCTTGGATACATTTTGCAACAATGTAGTACATATTTTAATGTTTCCATTCTAGATCCCTGCATCTATTCACTGCATTCGGGGTTCAGCTCTTGGTGAAATTTGTTGACTAAAATCACTATTTTGGATAATCTAGGCTAGTTTTGCTAGAATTTCCTAGTATAATTTAGAGTGTACATTATGATTTGCAACGAGTAAATTCTTTCTGAATATTATCATTACTGAGATCACTTTTTTCAAGAGAAAAATCAGGTTCCACAAAGAGGATTTTTTTTTTTTGAGGGGGGATTGTATGTGTTTTCATAAAATTTTGCAATTTGTTTAAATCCAAAAAGTTACATTGCAGATTATTTTTACATTTGGTGAAGTTCTTTTATTAAGAAAGATAACATAATACTCAATCAGGACTATCCTAAAAAATTCAGGTGGTCTAGGCCCTGAATTTTAGCACTTCTGCAGAATGTTATATTCCAAGTGATGGTATTTGAATTTGGTTTCCTGATTTAGTCTTACATGTTTACATTTGTTTTCAATTTTTCTTTTATTGTGGTACAATATATATACATAGCAAAATTTACCACTTTGACCATTTTTTTTTTTTTTTTCCTTTTTGTCTTTTTTCGTGTCCGGCAACAGATCGCAACCCTCAGTGTCACGCCCGTACCGGACCGGACCGGCAACAGGATTGCAGCCCTCGGCGTTGCACCCACACCTCGCTCAGCCAGTGAGCGGGAACCGGTCTGTATGTGGGATCCGAACCCTTGGCGGGAGCGCCTCCGCACTCCCAAGCGGCGCACTGTAGCAGTGCGCCACCGGGCCGGGCCCACTTTGACCATTTTTAAGTGTATAGTTCAGTGGCATTAATACATTCAAATAGTTGTGCAGTGATCACCCTGTCCATCTCCAGAACTTTTTCACTGTCCTGAACTGGAGCTCTGTACCCATTAAACAATTGTTTTTAAGGTCCCCCTCCCCGCCAGCCTTTTCAATTTTTGCGTAATTTTTGAATAGGTAATACATTCACTTAGAACAAAATATAAAAGGTTCAAAAGAGCATACAGTGGAAAATCTCTCGTCCCTGACTCCAATCAATAGTGTACACCTGGGTACCATGAGCAGCTATGAACATATGTCCCACATAAAAGTGCTGGTTGCAAGGGTTTTACATATGTCAAGTGGATAGATAATGCAGAATTGTCCTCTAATGAGGCTGAACCTGGTCATACCTCCGCCAGCCTGTTTCCTCGCACTTTTATCCACTTAGCATGTCATCAAGATTTTACATCCTTTTCAATCTGATAGGTGAAAAGTGGTAGTTCAGTGTAACTAAGTTTGCGTTTCTCTTCAAAATGAGGCTGAGCATCTTTTCCTGTGCTTTGTATATGCTTTTCTGTGAAGTCTATGTCTCTTGACATTTTTTTCTATTGAGTTCTGGGTCTGTCTTGTTTTGTTTTTTTTTTGCGGCTTGCTGGTATGGGGATCTGAATCTTTGGTGTTACCACTACCATGATCTAACCAAGTGAGCTAACTGGCCAGCGCCGGGGTCTGCCTTGTTTTGAGTTTAGGAATAAAGATATTTAATTCTTTACAACTAACTGACATGACTGGACCTATTGAGTCACCAGGATCAATTTAAATAAGGTGCTTTTTAGGTGCGGGTGGGATAGATACACCTGTGTGTGAGTTGCCGTTTTGGTTGTGCTTTGATTATATTCTCAGTGGGGATGAGAATAATCTGAGAAAGACATTCTTGGCACTCTCAGGATGCTGAAGCCCTGTGCCAGCCACCACTGAGACTTAGCTATCCCGGCTAGTGAGTTGAAAATTATTTCAGATTTTCTCTCATATTCAAAAGTACCAAACAATATGTATGTGTGCACACTTTTGAGTCAACCACTTTTTAATGAGGACAGTGAGCCAGGCATTGTGCTAGGTGCTGTGGAGAATACAAAATAAGTATCTGCCTTAAGCCCTGTCTTACAGGACTTTATGGCCCATTTAGGCAGAGAAGACACACACAGGCTGAATACGAGATGGAAAATAAAACAGTTGCGGAGGAGACCTGGATTAAGACTAGGGGAATAGAAGGAATGATAATGCCTATCATTTAGTAAATGATGATTACATGCCAAACACTATCAGCAGGTTTAGACAGATTATTTCTAAACCTGAAAGGTGAGTCCTCTCTGCTATGTGTTCTGCTCACTGTATAGCATGATGCCTGGGCAGCAGGTGCTCAGTAGTTGTGGCATGTCCATTTTACAGATGAGTAAACTGAGGTTCAGGGACATTACTGACTTATCTAAGGTCCTACTCACCAAGTAAATGGGGGAGCTAGAATTTGAGCCCAGATGGCTCTGTGACCCCCAAGTCCATGCTCTCTGCTTTCGCCACACTGACCGCTGAGGAATCCAGGGAGAGAGTGGGGACCTGAGTGAGGACTTTCCTTTTGACTGGGGTTGGGGAGAGGAGCGAGGAAGAGTAGGAGACCATTCCCAGAGATGTAGGCAAGGCAGGCAAAACCGCAGCACAGAGAAGTGCATGATTTGGGAGT